ATATACAGTATTACCCCGCCTAACGCGGTTTCACTTAACGCGTTTTATCATATACGCGGTGCCTCGCCAGAGCTGAACTTTCACTTAACACGGATTTTTCCACATATACGCGGTGAGTGTCCGGCTCGAGATGCTATTTTTAGATTTGCCCCACCCGCCACCCTGCCTGACTGCCTGTTTTAGTTCATAAAATTCATACAAATTGCCCGGTCAGAATATAATTTACATTGCTGGAATTCTTATAATTTGGTGATCATTTTGAATATAAACATCATATATTTTGCATTAGACATACAAATTTTAGATAAAAAATTTTCTCAGAGTAACTATGTTATCTTTTGTGCAAAATATATGACATTTATATTCAAAATATTCCTGGTCTTACAAGGAATCCAGCAATGTCAATTATATTATCCTAACTTTAGTTTGAGGTATTATTTATTACAAAAAAGTTAAGTATTCTGGTTTTCCCACACATCTCCTTGGGACGGTTGGTGGGGGGTGGGGGGGAGGGAGGGACCGACCGACCATCTGTTACCCAGTGAAGAATATTTTTTTTTTTTATTAACTGAAGATATTTGTTTTAGCTCATAAAATTCATACAAATTACCCGGTCTGAATATAATTTACATTGCTGGAATTCTTATAATTTGATGATCATTTTGAATATAAACATCATATATTTTGCATTAGACATACAAATTTTAGATAAAAATTTTTCTCAGAGTAACTATGTTATCTTTTGTGCAAAATATATGACATTTATATTCAAAATATTCCTGGTCTTACAAGGAATCCAGCAATGTCAATTATATTATCCTAACTTTAATCTGAGGTATTATTTAATACTAAATGTTAAAAACTCTTGAAGGGAGGATTGGTGGGGGGTGGGGGGGAGGGTTGGGACTGACCGCGCAGTTGGAAGAGGGGGGAGGCAAGGTGGGGTACTTTGATTGACAGATAGTGTCCTGAAGATTATTATTTTTTTTATTAACTGAAGATATTTGTTTTAGCTCATAAAATTCATACAAATTACCCGGTCAGAATATAATTTACATTGCTGGAATTCTTATAATTTGGTGATCATTTTGAATATAAACATCATATATTTTGCATTAAACATACAAATTTTAGATAAAAATTTTTCTCTAGGTAACTATGTTATCTTTTGTGCAAAATATATGACATTTATATTCAAAATATTCCTGG